ATAGCAATGGGATAGAAAAGGTGGGATGGGATGGGATGGGATGGGGTGGGATGGGATGGGATGAGCACGGCGCTGAGATGGGGGTGGGACAGGATGGATAGGGATGGAGATGAGATGTAGAAGGGACAGGATGGGATCAGATGAGGATGTGGGTGAGATGGGAATGGGATGGGGAGAGGATGAGAATGAGATGGGGAAGGGGATGGGATGAAATGAGTATGGAATGAGATGGGGATGGGGATGGTATGATGCCACGATCCCATGGAAGGAGGAAGAGCACTGGAGCCATGACAGGGTGGGAAAGGAGAAGGGCAGGAGTTGGAAACAGTGGCACCCAAAACCTAAGAATGTCTGAAAGCAGTGGGGAAACAGAGGCACAGCCAGGAGGGCTCTGAGCTCAGTGCTTGTGCTGCTCTGGGGCTGACCCAAAAGCCCCAACGCTGAGGAGCTGTTTGTGGGGCTGATCCACTCACGTAACCCTTGGTCTCACTGTGGGCGATGCAATTTCAGGCCATTTTCTGCAGCCTTTTCCCCAAAACCCGGGCAAAAAGGGTAAAATCAATCCCAGCACTGCCTTGTGTCTCTCCACACCTCCTTTAATTCATCTGCAGGTTGGGGTGCTCAGCACAGCCTTCCTCTCCCTCCTCCTCCTCCCCCACACAGCTCAGTCTCTCAGGGTCCCCTCTCTGCCACATTTGAGCCAGGAGAGTTGGGGGGTTGGTGGAACCCCACTGCTCTGTGCAGCCCTGAGCACATGGAGCTGCTGGGGGGAGTCTCCGGTGTCTCCTATGGGGTTGAGCTCAGCATGGCCTTACAGGGAGTGAAGTTAATTTGGGGTTTTTCAGCTTTCCCGATGGCCAAATTGCATACAGCTTGGGAGGAATCCATTTCTTCGAAACCTTTTTGGGGTCTTGAATGTATCCTTATTAAATAAAAGCAGTGCCAGAAGCTGAATGTGGCCACCCGGTGCAGTGAGGGAGGTTTGCAGGCTCTGACCCCTCCAGGCCGCCCCAAAGTGCCATTTGGGGAGAAATAAGCCACAAAAATAAGGGAAAAAAAAAAAAGAAGGAAAAGCAGCCTAATTGAAAATCTCCTCCTCCTTGGTGGATCAATTCACTCTTCAATATTAATGAAGTCGCCCTCCCAATTAATTCTGCGCTCGCCTACTGGAGGCTCAGGGGTGGAAACTCATTAATTTCTCACCACCCAAATCTGGAAGAAATAACACCGAAAATCTGCGGGCTGTTCTCCCACTGAGCCGGGGCCGAACCTCCCCGACCCCACGCTGCCCCCTGGTACAAAGGGAGCAGCGCGTGGGGTGAGCAATTAGCAGCAGTTTAATTGCAGGCAGAGGCCGATGGCTTTCTATTGGTCTGGTGGCGCAGTCCTGGGGACACCCCGTACCCTGGGTGCTGGCCAGACCCCACTCCTCCTCCTGTCTTTCCCTTTGTCACGATTGGGGTGAGAAAATTAAAAGGAATAAAAACATGCAGACCCCGAGACGTTCCTGAGGTATCTTTAATTTAATCTCCTCTCCCTCATTTATTAATGAGCCTTCTTGCTCGCTCTCATCCCTGCGGTCCCCTGGCGTGGCTGGAAATGCCCTCTAATCCCCTGCTGTCCTGCTGCCCAGCAGAAGCTCACGCGCTCTGTGTTCTCCTTGCCCTTATCTTATCTTAACTTCATTTGTCTGCCTGTTAGCAAGGCTCAGCTCTGCCTCGTGCCCCTGTTGGAATTCCCAATTGTGCCTGTGGGGGAGGGGGGAATGTGGCAGGGATGGGATGGGATGGGATGGGATGGGATGGGATGGCAATGGTAATGGAAATGAGGATGAGAAAAGATGGGGATGGGGATGGGGATGGGGATGGGGATGGAGATGGGATGGGATGGGATGGGATGGGATGGGATGGGATGGGATGGGA